GTGGTAATCCTGGAAATAACTGGTTAGCAGCTAAGCTAACGTCCTCCCTGTGCTACTGTGCTTTATCTCGTATTATCTGCAGTATTCACGTGTTGTCATTCTGTTTTGTGCTTGTATTTAAGTTGTCGTGTATATGTTTGCATGATAATCCCTTCCCATAAATGTGGAGATTACCAACGAGTAATGAGTGACCGGAGTATTCTCCTCATCTGGACCTGGCCTGGACCTGGTCTGGACCTGGTCTCAGGCATACATACGTTTGACTTTGTAAACTGTTGGTTTTGCACTTTACTTTTGTTTTCAATAAATCTGTGATTGTATCAAGACTGTGTTTCATTCATTTATTATTATTGTAGCTGAGGTTTGGGTATTGATAGTTTGGTCTCGGAGTCTGCTGTAGTCCGGACCCGAGTCCGGACTAGCCTAGCTTAGCCTAGCCGCTAACTCTCTACCCCTATGGCTGCCGCTGTCTCTCCCTCGGTCCTTTACTGCTCGAGTTGCCATATGACGAGTTTAAACCCTGGATCCTCTTCTGAGGGCAGATGTGTTAAGTGTAGTATAGTAGTAGCTTTGGAATCCAGGGTGAGTGAGTGAGCCGAGTCTCGAGCTAGCGCTAGCATTAGCTATAGCCTAGCAGTATCCTCGGACATGCAGCCCTCCTCCTCTGCACACTGCTACACAGGCTGCTGTTGCTAAAGGTCCATTCAGATTGTACAGAGCAGTCAGCACCATTGACTTCACAGTGTCCGAGTCATTCTTTTAAGACATAAGCATTTTCAAAAACGACTCTATTAAATTTTCTATTAAACACTTGTTCTGATATTATAATAAATCCATGCACTGCACCAGTACTAGTTACACGTAAATGACGTGGTCTGACAACGCCGAGGACATACTGGGGGTACTATTTTTGATGGAAAAGCACGCGAACTGGGCCATGGCGCGAAATGTAGAGTCAAAACGTACCGTACTAGGATTGTGGAAAAGCGGCATATGTCACTTTTTTAAGAACACATCGGTGAAGCATTTCATTCCTCAAGTGGTTTTGGTCCAGTTCAAGGGAATCAAGTGTGAATGTAGATAGATGGGTAGATACTTTATTTATCTCCTGTAGGAGAAATTCAGGAGTCCAGTAGCAGCAGAAACACATCCGCCCATACAAACAAAACAGATAAATACATAATTCTAAAAGTAGCTAACAATAATACAATGCAACAGCACTTTGGGTCACAACAGCATAGATGGTGTAGCCTCTGGGTGGAGCAGGAAAGGTCACAGCAGCAGAGGTGGTATAGTCTCTGGATGGAGCATGGACTCTTCCTGATTTTTGCATGAATTGAGCTAAAACCTCTCCAGGTCTGTTTTTGATAAGGGAAATTCTTGTAGCATGGTTAAAAGCTTTAGTTTTACCTATTATTTTAATCAACCAGTGCACTTAAATATAACTTGGGATATTCCTATACAGTCCAATACCCTCAGCAGAGCCACTTGTCCTGCATTCTAATCCCCTTTTGCACTCCAAAGTTCCTGCTTTTTTTCTTCTTTATTTCCCCACCAAACAAGAGAATAGGGCTAGCGAAGCAGGCGGAAGGGGGTGGTCACCATGGCTCCCCTCGCCATGGCAACCCACAAACGTTTGCAAAGCATTCAGGAATTTCCTCATATTAGATGGATTACGAGTCCACATGGGCCAAAAATAATAAATGGAAGTTTACTTGGGTAAAAAAATTCTAGTTCCGCTTTAATAAAGAGGAACTACATTATATAATAAAGCTGGAGAACCTCTCTTCAACCAATAAAGAATGACAATGTAAGAACAACAAGTTCTTGGTTCTAAAACTTTGTCAGACTCACTCTAAAATCTCACTGTGTACGTGGATATAACTGACACTATGGTAAAACCAAGCCCTGGGGATCCAAGATTGCGCCCTATTCAGTGGCTTGTGCTCACTGAAGAATGGGACCTACTTTAAATGGGGACAGAATGATTAGTGGATTTTGCCCACATTTGGGCATCCTCTCCCCCGATACTTTGGACAAAACGGACAAAGGGGAAGAAAATGGATGGATGGTTATTGCAGGTCTTGCTTGGATTGATAATAATAACTGGATAGGTTATTACTAGCTTATAGCTGTCCCACCCATGGGCTCACCACGGGCGCCCCGCAGACGAAATTCACGTGGGTTAAATCCACACTTGACTGCCACAAACTCTTCTTGTTTCTTTCCTGCTCTGGCTCCGCTCTACTGCTGCTCTGATCAGCAGCGCTGATTGGTCAGAGCGCAGCCGAGCCCCTCTGTGCACGTGCATGAGAGCCACACACGCGTATTTGGCGCAACGCATCATGGGAGCTCGTCCATTGCGCAGAACCGGGAGGACCAGACGATGCCCAAATATAGGCGAGTTCCGCGAATCTTTCGGTCCCTGTGAAGTCCCATGCGCTACTGAGCACAAGCAATTCATTTGAATAGGGGATCACCGGGGCTTGAGGCCTTGACATTAAGCCTAGTCAGCCATTTATATTTTACTTGCCCAATGTCAAAAGTTACTTTCCCAATTATTTCTCAATACAATGAGTTAACAAGACTTTGGCAATACAGTGGCACTAACTGTGTGGGAAAAAAACACTCTCAGCCCAAAAAGTCAAATAATGAGTCAGTATGCTGCTGCTGTCAGGCTGTACAACGAGAATGTATAACAATAACTGCTGATTCATTGTCATTGTCATTGATAATAATTCACTAGTCACTTTACCTATTTTATTATTACTGCATTATCCATCCAACTGATATTCTGGCATTCACTAGTCACTTTACCTGTTGATATTATTACTGATGTTTATTCTGCTTTTATTCTCCGCTGCTAAAGTACAATATACACATCTGTAAATACTTCTGAACCAAGTGCAATTATAGCTCCAAAGTTTGTTATTTTATTCTATTTTACCATTTTATTATCTTATTTTAATTATGTTAAACAACAATGACACTGAAATTTCTCCACTGTGAGACGAATAAAAGAATAGCTTATCTTTTGCAACGCCTGTTGTGGTGCGTTCTGTTTGATTTGTTCACAACATTTTACTTTTGTGAACAAACAACATACATTTTTAATGCAAGGGCAAATTTAGCTTTAATTTCTTGAGTTTTGGTTGCGCTTCGGTAGGAGAAACGGGAGAGAGACCTGCACTTGCAACAAGCTGGGGATGGTCCTGACGCATGTCAATGGTGCTGTCCACGCGTCTATGATTCTGTCCGTACGTCTATGGTTCTGTCCGTACGTCTATGGTTCTGTCTGCACGTCTATGGTCCGCGCTCGGTGCCACGTTACAGCTGTGCGTTTGCTGAGCTGTTGTCAAAGCGGCTGTCATTACAAAGCGGCCGCAGCTGCTCCCGTGGTCAGAACGGAGGATGTAAATTGCATTTGAGTACATACAGCAAACAACAGAAGGTGCCTGTAGTCACACATTTCACAGAAATTACATTTTCAGTGTAAACAAGTCGGGAATTGCGGATCCGTGTAAAATGTTGAAGACATTTTTGTCAAATTTTTTTTTTAAAAGACGTGTCCGCACCCGGCTCCAGAGGAAGAAATGCGGGAAGGCGTTCCCGGCCTGAATGGGTTAAAGTAATACATCACTTGCCCGATCGGGCAACTTTCTAAAACAGCGCACTTGTCCGTCCCAAATCTTTAGTTGGCCCGGGCAAGCGAACAACCATTAATGTCGAGCCCTGGTTATTGTGACCAAAATTATCACAGTTTTTGGTATTATTGCGGTATTTTTTATTTTTTATTTTTAGGGAATATGTTCAGAAAGCATTGATAATCCTATACAAACTGAAATCGTTTAAAAAAGTGAACAAATGTAACATTTGGTTGATAACATCCATTGTGAAATTGAATGAAGGATATTGTGAGAGTTCCAGCAGTACATGAATTATACTTGCAACCAGTAACCAACCATTGACACACACAAGAGACTCATTCTAGGCAATGGGGGTGAAGTGTCTTGCCTAAGGACACAACAGGAGTTTGGTACTTTACAGCCGCCCCACTGTGGCACCTAGTGTTCCCAGAGGTTAAGTGTCTTGCCAAGGAGACAACAACAGCAGACATCAGTGGGAGTCGGTGGAGAATGTCTTGAGGTGGGCTCGAACCCACAACCTTCTGGCTCAAAGGCCAATGCTGTACCAACTGAGCTACTGTCGACCTCAAGATCAAAAAATATTTGACAGTCTGTCTCTGACCAATCAGCGCTGCTGATCAGAGCAGCAGTAGAATCGAGAAGTAAAATCGAGATTTTACTTTTTTGCAATATCGCCCAGCCCTAGTCATAGCACACAATATTCTGTCTTGAAAAGTCTTGAAAATCATCAAAAATGGCTGGCGGTCAAAGAGCTACGAGAAAACTAAAATAGGGCTGTAGTTGACCAAAGAAAGGCTTGATTCACTAAAGATATTCGATCGATTGCATTACTAAAAGGGAAGTGACAAAAGGTCTCAAAACTATTACGATTATAATAAACTAAGACTTTTCCTTGTTGAAAAAAACTGAATTTTAAATGCATATGTTGGTTTACCGATTAATCACCTAAATGACCAAAGATTACTGTTACTGTGAACTTTTAGCACTGTCCTACTATGAATAATCAAATTGCAAATGATAATCACAATGTTTAAATTGAATTTAGATGTTTCATAACATCTAAACCTTTCCCCAGGAAAGGGCAGTAGTAGAAAGTAATTCTACTCCACCTGTTCTGAGCTTGGAGAATGGAGAGGTTAGGCATAGCCTCTGTGTGTGTTTGCAGGGGTTTACTGGGATCCTGCATAATATTTCACTGATGCAAAAATGTAGTGGTTTTTTTTTTAAAGCTGAAAAACATGGGCTACGTTTACCTTGAAACGTGTGCGAAGACCTAAACACATTGATTGTGATATCTCATTCATTTTATCCCCTGTGCACCCCCTCCCCTCTTCTCTCTCTTCCCCCAGAAGAATGCAGAGCTCTGAAGGCGGCTCAGACTCGGCGAGCAACGTGGCCACCCTAAGGACATCATCATCAGCCCAGGCCCCGGTGGTCCAGCCTGTCCCTGCTTCACAGCAGGTAGGATGCTTTGGACTGTGACCTGGGCCAGAATCATATGTGCTCCCAAGGAAAAATGGGGACACTCCTGTCATTGCACCAAATTTACAGACAATGCCCCCTCCCCTTTGGTGAAATATATTTTAATTTTAAAGACTTGATTATTACTATTTAACTTTTTAGAATGATCAATTTTATATTTGTATTATTGCTGCTACCGGACACCTGAATTTCCCCTACGGGGATCAATAAAGTATCCGTCTATCTATCTATCTATCTTCTTCCTTTTTGATAAGTGTGTGAAGGATGTAGAACCCTCTAATACCTTCTACATGAGTATGTCCCTTATTTGAGTACATCTTCACATCTTCAAATGTTGTTTACCCATGGAAACATTTGTCACGTTTTTTTCTCTTTTTTTCAATGAAGCTTATAACATTTTAATTTAAAATTACACAGATCATAGGTCTGGGATTCTAGTATATAAGATAAGATAAGATAGACATTATTGATCTCACAATGGAGAAATTTACAAAACCAAATATACAAAACCAATGTACATTATTAATGTTCACAAACTGATTATCCAATAGCAGACTTGGCATCACATGAGTTTAATTTGGGTTGCCAGGTCTTCAGTGAAATCCAGCTGTTTTTTCTTTGCTCGAACCCCAGCAGCTGAATTTCATTAACCACCAAACATGTTTGCTCTTCCAGTAGTCATTGAAGTAATTTTGGTGATTTTTTCCCCCTAAATGGTTCACTTGGGACTCAAATCTGGACACGCCAGAAATTTACTTGAACCCTCTTAAATTGAGTTAGTTGAAGCACGTTGTGAACTTGTTGTTTACTATTGTTTGCAGTGTGCATTGCAATGTAATGGAGTTATGTCTTATCCAAACAGAAGGTGCTGGTTCAAGCCACAGGCTCAGCTCAGAAGGGAGGCGTTCAGCAGCACAGCAGAGCCTCACAGCAGGTACTGAGCTATGGCATTAGGTAGGGTTGGCAGAGACATTAGAATTATATTCTTTGGCTGCTTAATGGGCTCATTTCACTCACATTCAGCTTATGAAACGCGAGTTTAGTCCTCCAGCATGAGAATTGCATGACGGCAACACAATCTCCTCTGGATCATGAACAGTATACTGTATATCTGCTGCCCTCTGTGACTGTTATCACCAGCTCTTCTCTCTGGCTGAGCCTGGCTTCTGTCTTCACACATCACTGTTTCCCTACAAGAGAATTGCCAGGCTTTTATAGTCCAAGCTTCTTGCCTGTTATAATCAAGGTGATCTATATAAAGACATTTTAAATATTATACTAAACTATTCTTATGAAAGTAGAAAGGCATTGCTTGTGCCGTCATGTCTCAGAATCTATGGGAAAGTGACTTAGTTTTGTGAACATGGTTTAAGTTAACCTCCATCGTACTGTTTTTGTCGGACTCAGTCTACGTGGATAACTCACACGTGGTAATACAAAGTACTTTGTGTCTCAAAGCTAACACTTATTTGATAAAAGAAAATAATACTTCCTTTTTTTGACTAAAATTATGTGCACTGCCCTCTGTGGGTGGTGGAGAGGTCCCTCCTCAAGTGTCTCAGGTTTTGTTCTCTGTGAAGAAAGGATGTTGTGTGTGCACTGATTTGTGCAGTGATGGTGTATGCAGTCAAAGCTATCAATTTACTGCTCAATCTATGATCCCACCCTAATCTAGTAAGTAAGTAAGTTTTTATTTATATACCGCCTTTTCACTGCAGATCTGAGTCTCAAAGCGGTTTACAATTGTTATTTTTGGGCATTTGTCTCTCACTCCACACAGAGATGGGAGCGGGGCCAGTACAGGAGGCGCATGCCAGAACTATTGGACATATTTTTAGTGGTAGGGGAAACCGGAGTACCCGGAGGAAACCTACGCAGACACGGGGAGAACATGCAAACTCCACTCAGAAAGGCCCTGGTCCGACCGGGATTCGAACCCAGGACCTTCTTGCTGAGAGGCGAGAGTGCTATCCACTCAGCCACCGTGCCGCCTAATCTATGGTCATATTCTGTGAGTAATGACCCTAAAGACAAGATTGTTGATACAAGGTGGTCAGAGGGAGCAATAATAATGTAGTAAGGGACACTTCATTGATGATTCAAGATCTAAAGAATTAGATCCTGTGTAAAGATTACACGGAATGAGCTCAACTTACGCTCACAATGCCTTCCTTCTTGCCCGTTGCTATTGCTGAGGTTGTCACAGGAGATGGTCTTGTGATCTCTGGGGAGCTAAAATTCTCTTCATAAAACAGGTTGTATATTAATAGGAAGTCAATTCCCTCAGAAACTGCACAAAACAATACACCGACAAATGCATGCAGCCAATGTTGGGTGTGAGGGAAGATGGGTGACTCAAAGATGCATGAATTGCTCTTAAAACAGGTGTCAAAATAACTTACTGACTATAACATTGTCCAAAGCTGTATAAAGTCAATGTTAATTGTTATGTCCTCTTTAAGGTGCAGGCTGTACAGGAAGTACAGCATGCACGCAAAGCCATAACCACATGAGTGTTTCTTTTGCTTAACTATCCATCTGCTTTCAACTCAAGTCATGATTGAACCAAATCCCACATCTGTGTATTGTCGAATGTTTTTTTGCCGTAAAATACATTGTAAACATGACTGGGCTTTCCTGTGCAGAGCTGTGCAGTGGTGTGACTAGTTCTGCTCCATGTGTGCTCTGTAGGTTCAGCAGGTGCAGCATGTGTACCCATCCCAGGTGCAGTATGTGGGAGAGGCCGGAGACGCTGTGTACACCAATGGAACTATGTAAGAGCACGTTCTACATCACACCCCTCAGATCCAGTGTTTTAAAAACATCCCCAGGGCACCTATTAATGATATAGCTAACTATCAACATGCAGAACAGTACCTAGAGTTGTCTGAAATATCAAAAATCAACTCAAATATTTTGGTCGAGGAATTGGTACAAAACCTTGTGGTACCATTTAAAGGACTATAAGGTAATATTATTTGGTGTTAATATTAAGGCTTCAGAAAAATTTTATTGTGTAATGAGGGTAGTCATTAGTATCAAAATAAAGTTTGTAATCTCAGCAGCATGACAATAGTCAAGACAAGAGTCTTTTTGATGTAGAAATTCATGAATGGAATAGTTTGATTTGGTTGTTCTTTATTATTTATAAAGATTATTATTTATAATCTTTTACGGTTTCATATACAGTGGCAACAAATCTGGCAACAAAGGGAAATTGACACAATTATCTCTTGGAATGAGCATAAAAATGGTGGCTGCACATAACAAATAATCAATTAATTGTTTTTTGAGCCCTACATAGACTTTAACATGCATGTAGATCCACATAGTTGTATCTACCTTGGGCCCATCATGTCTGTTTTCTTTTCTCAGCCGCGCCTCATACTCCTACAACCCAGACTCTCAGCTGTACGGCCAGGGCAGCGGAGGTCCATACTTTGAGTCCCAAGGAGGGGGCGCTCATGTCACAACCGTGGTGTCCTCGTCGGGCACGGGCGGGGTGCCTTCTCACGGTATGGTTGGCATTGCCATGGATGTTGGCTCCAGCCACATCATCTCCGGTGGGAGCACCTACCTGATTCATGGAGGTAGCATGGAGGGCAGCCGCAACCACATCTCGCACTCCTCACGCTCCTCCTCTGCCATGGTGAGTAGTACAGGACTTCAGTTGGGGAAACTGTTTTGGACCATGACTCTTAAAGCTGAACTATATTAAAATGGCAGATAGCATAATAGCATTTTAAATATTTCCTTTTAAAACCAGGTACAGAAGGTTTAGTTCTATGGTCTTCAAACTGAGGACCGGTTTGTAAACCAGGGCCAGTGTGGCTACACGTTTTCATTTCACCTATTTCATCAAGATTTCAGGTTAAGACTAGCATGGCCTTAGCATCCGTTAACTCCGGTCAATTATCATTTCCCTACATGCGCCGTCTGGGTCTGCTCCCAGTGTCTGCAGTTACATCGGTTGAAACCCCTCCGACCAATCGGCGAGCGCGGGAGGTGGGTGTTGTAGGTAGGTGTCGTGTCGGTGACATCAAGAGTATGCACCAAATTTGCTTGTTGTAGTTTGGCGATGGCGGAGAATGCGATAGTGAAGTAACCTGTTCCGGTTTGACCCTCAAATATCAAGAAATTGAAACCGGAGCAAGAGCAATGTTCAGCAAATGTAATTGCTGGCAAAATGTTGTGGCGCTACTCCCCAGTCGGGCGCATTACATACGTCACAGTAAACTCTGATCCAATCGTTTCAATCTCCAAAAAGAATTAACCCCTCCCACCTGTTTTCGGAGCTCAATGGAGCAAATCTAAGACTTAGTAGGAAATTAAATGTATACGATGGTGTGGTAAAACTAGGTTAGGTAAAGACTGGACTCACCTGAGGTGGAGTCACCGGCCCTTTTTATGACCACTGGTTTTAGATTTTGTGTAATAACAATGATACAATATGAGTGTAATGATATTTTGTATTTAGTCAGAGTTCCACATACTTCAAATTAGGAAGCATTGATTTATTGTCCCTTTGCTTGTTTGCCTTCTCTGCCTTTGCCTGCTCCCCTGCCTCCTTGCGTTTGCTTCCCCTCCCCTTTCTTGTGTCTTATTCACGGCGGAGTGTAGAATATGAAAGAAGTGCCGGTGGTGTAGCATCAGAGTCCGTGACATTTCATACAGCGGTGGACATGGCACTGTTTGTCCTCATTGAACAACGTGGCCTTATACCAGAGACTGTAAATTTTATACGCAGCAAAAAACACAACACAGATGCAGATTACAAAGTTGAGGCATTACTTTGCAATACAAGAACTCCTGTGACTGTACACTATAGAGAGAGAGAGGGCGGTTGAATTGGAACAGGGTACTTACTAATTATTAGGGGTGCAACGGTTGGAAAAAATCACGATTCGGATCGTACCTCGGTTCAGAGGCCACGGTTCGTAGGCCTGTCACGATAACAAATTTTGCTGGACGATTAATTGTCTCAGAAATTATTGCGATAAACGATTATATTGTCGTTCTGAGATCATTTGCATCGATTACAATGATAATGCAGGTACACCTTTTCAAAGAGAAATAAACTTTTATTTTTAACGAATATTTAACGCTAGAACACAATAAATTAACAAACAACCAAAAACAATAAATAAAATAGACTCAGTCTCTTAAAAACCACTTAGCAACAACCAGCGCGCCGGCGGCCGTTTTTATGTTTTTAAATGTTCTGCTGGCAATAGCAGATGTATTTTGAACACCAAACCCCAAAAGCTGTATATCATTTTAAAGCTTATTTTCTTATCTACATTTATATCAGACTTTGCATTCAAAAGATATAACACATAATGTGGGCACAAAATAAATCAATTCCGAAATAGTTTTTTACCTTTGGGCTTGTGCTGTACAAATAAATCAGCTCTCCTCCCAGCTTGCAATACATCATTCTCTCTGGAACAGTCCAAAGGAAAATTATATCTACTTGTATTTCCCAAAGTAAAATCCATTCTGCAGAAATAATCCTAAAATGTGCATTTATCTTTAGCAAAAAAAACGAAAAAAAAGAGCACAGATGTTACTCTTTCACTTGTAACGGACTTTTAGCTTTGTTTTTCACCCAAACATCTGGTATCTACGTGTTCCTTAGCTCCTTATCTTTCAAATGAGACTACTCCCGAAAAGCTAGACCAATTTTTGGGTCTGCAATAGGTCCCGCAAGTACCGCTCGTGCTGCTGTTTGCGCATTGGTGACTGATCTTTGTTGTGATCCCAACTTGTTTACGTTTACTTCCGGGATTTACGATTGACATGTCCTTGTAGCCAATGAGGAAAGCTTTCGAACAAGGGGTGGGACAATGGTGTCCTGTCTTATGTTGGGCCTGGACAATTGTGCGTACTGGAAGATAAAAGACGCTCTCGAATCTGCAATGAATTTACACTCATAAAAAAATAACTTTGACATTTAAAAAAGAAAAACACACATAGATTAGTAACTTATAAGTACCAATAATAAAAAATATTGTTTTTATGATGATTAAATGTAAGTAAAGATATTTGGCACAATTTGGCACACTTGTGCCAAATTGTGCCAAATGTGCACTACTTGATGAAAAAGAGAAACTGCATAAAAACTATAAAACTTAGAAGTCTGAAACTTTAGACAGTCGTTGTCAACAACACAATGAACAGAGGGTTTGAATATTGTGAACTTACAATGAAGTATGCCTTTTTTAGGGCCTTTAGAAATTGAAAATGTTAGGAGAGGCTAAAAAAATTGGGTTTTTTTCCCTAACTTCAAAGGATGCAGAGGAAAATAGGAATGACAAACATTATTTTAGTGTTTTTTTACATAAACTAGAAGGCTCTAGCTTTAAAATGATGCATCACACAAGCATGTGAGATGTAAGATGTGTTTTTAAATAAGCAAAGACATTTGGGTATGCCCAACCATTGTGCACGAGCCAAAATGAGGCGGATGTTAAGAGGTTAACAAAAAATGACCAGGAATAAAACTGCCAGGACCTTTGTAAAGAAAATATGAAACAGATGTCTCAAATGTCAATAATTTCTCAGACTTTATGGCAGATTACGAGAAAGAAATACCAACATGTTGACTTTGTGTGGCTTAAGACAGGATCTCTCAGGAGTAGTCCCACCTCCCCACACACCAGGCGAATGACAAGTGACTGACATGTGGGTTTACCAATGGGGCATACAGAAGTCCTGCTGCGGTAGCGCCCACCGGAAGTAGCGGGGCGGGCTTTGATGCTAACAGCTAAGCTAGCGGGTTTTTTGTGTAAAGTTCTACTCCAAGAATGCAAGTCTGCAGCATCTCTGTGTTCAGAGACCTTCTAGAGACTTTATATAACAGCAGTATGTGTTCACGGAGGTGCGCCATAAGTTTATTTTATTGGTATGGTACGGTACTTCTGCATCGGCGAACACGCTAACGCTAGCTGCGCTAGTATAGTCACTAATCAAGCCTGAATGAGAACTCAGCTGCCGGGATATGTTCACAACTACTGTGTCCCCCATTGTCAATCCTGGTTAAGTCCTGGTTTAGGTCCTGTTTTGGCTGTATTTTGTATTTTTGAGTAATTTCCGTCTGCTTGCTAGACCGCTAGTGTTCCCGTGACCACTTTGCGGCTCTCTGACGAGAGAGACGGGGGAAACAAACAAGCATGCAAATGGGATTTATCGCGGCCAGAAAAGTTATTGAGCAAATTTTATTTATCGTGCGATTAATTGATTTATTGACTATCGCGAAAGGCCTAACGGTTCGGTTCATTTTTCAAAAAAAATAGTTTTGTCTTTTTAATAAACACGCTCATGTGGACTCGGCACCTGCAGGAGGATCAGTGAGGGGCTGGTGCTCTGTGTACTGGGTGCAGCTCTGACTGCCACCCCCCTGACCTAGAAATGGATTAAGGGGAAGGAAATGGATGGATGGATGGAAGGCAAATTCCATCCAATTATGTCTTTTTAACATAATTAATGAAAAACAACACAAAGTGCAACATAAGAAGGCACTTTATGAGGGTAGTTACCCTCATATATTAAACCACCTGCCTGATTCTCCCAAGGAGGCGGTCCATTCTGGGCCCAGTCCAGCCTCATTCACTGCATTTATTTAATTTTTGGCATTATCAGTTGTGACTGGGATATTAGTACTGGGCCTTTGTCTTCCATTCCTCCGCTGCTTGTGTCAGTACCTGCGCTGTTTGCCTGTGTGACTTTCGTAGAGTGGGCGTGTCTGCAGGGCCGGACTTTTCATCTCCCCGTCTGCTGTGATGAAGTGATCGGTTATTGTAACATAGCTCTCCGTTCCGCTCATGGATCTATCATAGGTTCCGCTGGACGTCCAAGCGTCAGTCGTGAGCGCAACTGTGGATGCGCGGGAGAGTTGACTTTAGTACGGTCTGACTGTGCATAAAGGGGCTGCTTAAATGCCGCGGATCACGTCTGTACCGAACCGAAGACGTTGATCCGAACGGATCACGGATCAGTGATGAACCCTTGCACCTCTTCTATTTATGTAATCAGGAATTTTTGTTTTTAAATGTTACAGAAACACTTTGCTCCTATATACACTGCCTTGAGTTGAGTTGCTTTATTTTTTTGATATGCAATATGTATCTTCATTTATTTCAGTTATGTTATATATTTTTTTAAACAAGAAATTCAAGCAAATGTGACTGAAGCACTTTGTTCACAGTTGAACTGACTCCCTCTTTGATGGTCAAAAAAAAACGTTGGAATTTTTTTTGCAGTAGTTCTTGGGAGTTATTTATCCTATAGAAATATCGAAACATATATCGTATAAGATTGCAAGTACAGAGCTGGTCCAGTGGTCCGCAGCCGCGATGAATCCGAGACTCGACCATAGGTCGAAGTCTCCTCTCCAGTCCCTTGGAGTAGACCTTACTGGGGAGGCTAATGCCGCGTTCAGACCAGATCATGCGCTGCGTCAACTTTCAATGCAAAGTTGGTGGCAGAGATGCACACAAGTCTCTGACCCGCAAGTCCAAGTCTCTAGCCCAGGAGTCCAAGTCAAGTCCAAGTCTCTGGACCCGCAAGTCCAAGTCAAGTCCAAGTCCCTGGACCCGCATGTCCAAGTCTCATTTCCTACGCATTAAAATTATGGCCAATACCATTTAA